GACCCGGTGTTTACCTTATGAATAATTACCTTTTGTGTTCATATGCGACCTCAATATGGCCCGCGTGGTGTTTAATAATCCACATTTCAATGAACGTCCGGAAACTCACTATAGTTTGTGATATACTGTATATATACTAATTAATTAATTAGCTTATTATTGGTTCACAATAATCATCACACACATTTCAAAACCATGGAGGTAAAGGTATTACATTGTATAAATTTTAATATAAAACAACAACAAAAAACATTAAATTTGTTTAAAATAACTTCAATGTTGATGAGAGCGGAGAGAGCGGTACTGCGGACTTGAGTCCAGTGAGTTGTGCTTTTGACGACAGGTCATAAAGTAGTAATTTGGACGAGTCTAGCGTTGACAACGCTTTTGTTGCTAAAAATTCAGGTGGAATATACGAGTCACCATATTTCATCAATACTTTAAGCAACGCCATTGAGTATGATGTAAATTTACTTTTAGGGTAAGAATCTTTAATGTTATCGCATTTATTGTCTGGTTTAACCTTATATATCTGCTCTAGTCTTGTATACATTGACGAATAAGTATCTAACCTCTTACGGGCATATGCTCTGAAACCATCTTGGTCATCGTGTATTTTGACAACATTATCAAAAAAATTACGCGCAACGCTATAAATAATAAATGTTTTACATGATACATGCAACTAGTTTAATGGTATTAAATTAAACAATAAACAGAGTAACTTTACCACAATATTTCAGGCAGGTTAGTTTTGTTTTGTGTATACACTTCGGTCAGATAACCAATGAAATTGTCTCGGAGTGTTTTCGACTCGTTCAATTTTTTATTTGTAATTTTGGCGTATTTTATTTGTTTCTTTTCAGTCAATTGGCAATAAATGTTCATTTTATCGTAGAATGTGATGACAGGGCTCGCCATAAGCACGTAACGCACTTTTGCATTTAAGTACAACACAATGTAATTTAACGTGATCGCAATATCCTTGTAGCTGTAAAATTATTGTGTTATTGAATTATTAACAGGTTCAAACATAAATTTTTATAAAATAATAAACATTAATTTACATGATGATAATCATAATTACTAATTAATTATTATTACTATTACTAATTAATTTTGCTTATAAGTAAGATATACCATACTTACAAATTACTACCGACAGATAATACGTTGCCATGACTTTTGCACTGCTCTTTAATTTGTTTTAAGCTTTCGGGACTTTTAATACCGTTACCGAAAATCTCGTATCTAAAGCCCACCGCATCCGCCGCCGTCTCATCGCTCTCTTCAGAACAATATATCACACCTAAGGGTCATATAATTAGTAATCCGACCATAATTAAATCTGCGCATGCGTTAAACATGCACAATTACTTGTCAATTAGTGCCAATAGAATAGATACCTTCATTATTTCTATTTATTGATTATATTTTTATACAAATGTTACTTAACTCCTTAAACCTCTATGATAACAACGTTATTATTTATTAAATATTAATTTTAATTTAGTATTTACAAAATTTGCAAATATGGTATTTTAAATTAATTGGTTTTCTAATTATAGATTTATAAAAGTACAATCCATTCTCGATATAAGCAATGTTTTGTATTATATTATCTATAATAATTAATATTTTTATTGTAACCAAAGTTTTTCAAAGTGGGCAAAATCAAACATTTCCGGGCAATAATATTATCATATTGATTATGGAATCATAGAGGCAAAGCCAACCTTGTGAAAAACCCTAATTGTAAAAATTTTTAATTTGGCTCTTTTAAGTTTTATAAGTTTTAAACATTATTCTTAAACATTTATAATAATTTATTAATAATAATTATTAATAACTATAGCTTTTTAAAATAAGCATTTATGCACTTTAAAGTAAAATATGCACTTATAAACTATAGGTAAGGGCTTATTAGTGTAAAATTTATTAACGTGTTGTGATGTTTCAATCAGTAATTGTAACTTTATATTATGCTATTAATTTGAAAGCAAAGTTATCATACATGGTAATAAAATTTACACTAAACAATGGTTCAAAATAATAAAATATAAATGCAGACGAAAATTATTCTAGAGCCCACACACTTATATAAGTTGCTACACAAAGTTTCCATACATTTGTCAATACAAATACAATTAATGTTAGACAATTATTGATTGTATAGTTCCTCTCATATAACAATATGTTCTATTGATATAATAACAATATTTCAGTTATAAAATACTAGTTTTACAATATTTATAAATGTTTATATATTTTGAAATCAGGTAAAATAATGTACTTAATTAGTTAGCGAGGTTCGTCATTACATATATTTTTTGAAATATAATTTTATCAAATCATAAATCATAGTCTTGTGATAAATATAGAGATTATAAAAAATTCTAACAAAGTTACCAATAAAATATATATAATTATATTTATTGTAGGTAATTAATTGTATGATTGTTACAGTAACCATAAGTAAGAAATGAAAATATTTAATATATGATATAAATACGTTGAATAATAAAATAAAGTAACATAATAGTTAGCGCTAAATATTTTTTTATATAGTTTATATATTTAGATATTTTTAAAAATAATTTATAATAATTAAAAATATGAATTATAAATTGTTTGTAACAATTGTTACAATATGTCTATCCGTGTCGTTATGTTTGGCGGATAACAACACAAATGTGACCAAAATTGGTAAAAATAAAGGACAGGTTTTATACGCTGTGGTCGGAGAAAATTGCGACGATTGTAAGGCGGATGACCATCGAGTCTGTATAAGCGCAAAATGTTACTGCGAGCCAAATTACTACAAAAATACCCAGGGTCAATGTGAACATAAATATTGCACATACAATGCGGATTGTATTGAAAATGGTGATTTTTACCGAAGTTGTTCATCGGGCGAGTGTTATTGTGATCCGGGCTATTGGCAGGATATGACCAATGGGCGCAAGTGTAAAAAGGATGATGGTACTTATACTTGTTTGGACACTGATAATAAAATACAAGTTGATAAAAAGTGTCAATGTAAACCAAATTACTATAAAACAAGCGATGATAGATGTGTGGCCAGAGTGTGCTTAGTAAGCACCTCATGTACAACAAATGGGGACTTAAACCGGGAATGCTCTGCGGGTAAATGTGTTTGCAAAGTGGGCTATTGGACGGACACCAAGAATGGCGGTAAATGTACCAAGGATATTAATTGCGACAATTGTCCGGCAGCTGATTATAAAATCTGCATCAGTAATACGTGTAAATGCAAACCTAATTACTATCAAACAACTGATGAGAAATGTGTGTACAAGTCGTGCACGACTGACACCCAGTGTGGGAAAAATGGCGATTATTACCGAAGCTGTTCGGCATCGGGTGAGTGCTATTGCGATGCCGGCTATTGGCAGGACATAACCAATGGGCGCAAGTGTAAATTGGATGATGGTACTTACACCTGTTTGAGCACTGCTAATAAAATACGTATCGACAACAAGTGTCAGTGTAAAGTAAATTATTACAAAAATAGTGATGATAAATGTGAGTACCTGACGTGCTCAGCAAATAACCAGTGTAACAATAATGGCGACACTCAACGGCAATGCTCTGCGGGTAAATGTGTTTGCAATGCGGGCTATTGGGGCGATGCTAGCAATGGGGGTAAATGTAAAAAAGATTATGGTTGCAGTAATTGCAATTCGTGGGACAATAAAGTGTGTGTCAGTAATACATGTCATTGTAAACCCGATTATTATAAAACCAGTGATGATAAATGTGTGTACAAATTGTGCGCTACGGATACCGAGTGTGGGAAAAATGGCGATCTTTACCGAGAGTGTAGCAACGATGGGATGTGTGTTTGTGAAGACAATTATTGGCCCGACACTAGTAATGGTGATAAATGTGTATACGATTCCTATTGCTATAATTGTGGCTCATCTGACAACAAAGTCTGTATCAGTAATACATGTTATTGTAAACCAAATTATTATAAATCAAGTGATGGTAAATGTTTGTACAAGTCGTGTGTTTTTGACAGCGATTGTACCAAAAATGGTGATTCAAACCGGGAATGCAATTACGGGTCGTGTGAATGCAAGTCTAGTTATAAAGAGGACACAAGTAATGGACGTAAATGTTATTATGATTATGATCGCATTTACAGTGGCGTAGATTTCTGGACTTATGGCTGGATATTTATTGTATTTCCTGTGATTATACTAGTAAGTGTTGGCATTTGTATTAATAAACGGCGTCAAAGACAACAACGCGCCCAACAGGTGATTGCCGTACAGACTCGACCCACACAAATGCCAGCGCAGGTGGCTTTTGGTAATCCTATTTACGGCAATCAACAAATGTATGCATTTCAGGCGCAACCATATCAGGCCCAACAGTACGGCGGACCACCACTACAACAAGCCTTTATACCGCCTCAACAATTACCCCCGCCTTACGCGCCCCCATCCCAGATATCTACTAGTGCTCAGCAATTAAATAATACTAACTCCACAAATGGCATCCAAAGTACACACACAACCCCTGAACATTAATAACATATTATGCAACTTTACAATTAAATTCTTAAAATTTGTAAAATTATATCAATATAATTTAATTGTAGTAATAATTTTAAGTAGAATAATTTGTTGCGATGTTGTATAATTTTTTGTAAACTTTACTTTTTGTTATTTAATATTTTGAATTTAAAAACTTTAATTTTTAATTATTAATAACGTAATAATTTCAAACATTGATATAACTATACAATTAAACTCCGATTTGGCTAGAAAATATTATCGCAAATATTGGGTCACTTGTATATGTTACTTCCCCTGTATTTTTAGTCTAGATAGAATTGTAATATTAATTATATTATTTATGTTTACATTCTTAGGCACCATTCTTCGGCCTTGGCAAAATAAGAATAAACTTTTGCAATATTCAATTTGCAACAATATGCAAATATTTTATTTTAAAAACATGTGGTTAGTCTATCCAGACATACCAAAGAGGGGTACTTTGACTGAATTGCCCAAAAACGGTATTTTTGACGGCAGATGGTATTGGCGTAAGTTTGAGGGCAAATCAGCTAGTTCTTTAGGGGACGAAACTAATGTTGACAACGCCTTTTTTGCAAAGAATTCAGGTGAAATATATGAATCACCATATTGCAGCAATATTTTAGACAACAACATTGAATATGATTTAAATTGACTTTCGGTGTAGGTCTCGTTGAGTACATTGCACGTGGTGGCAGGTTTAACGTTGTAAATCTCCTCTAGTCTCACAAACATGTCAATATAGAACTGTGTCCTAATCCGGGCGTACTCCCTGAAACCATCTTGGTCATCGTGCACGTTGATTACGTCATTAAAGAAGTTGCGGGCAACGCTTTAGATATTAACAGTAGTAATTTTAGTTATTGTTTTGCTGTTTGTATATTTATGTAAACAATAAAGATGTCTTACCATAATAGTTCGGTCAAGTTAATTTTATTCTTTGTATACGTTTCGTTCAGGTAACCAATGAAACGGTCGCGGAGTTTTTTTGACTCGGTCAATTTACTATTGGTAATTTGGGCGTATTTCACTTGTTTGTCCTCGCTCATTTCGCAATAAATTCGCAATTTGTTGAAAAATAAGAAGGTTGGTTTTTCCGTACTAATCACGTAAAACACTTTTGGATTTATTAATAAAATCTTTAGGCCGTAATTGATTGTGATCGAAAGATCCTTGTAGCTGTAAACATGGTAATTTTGAAATGTGAAATTATTATTAATGCTAATCAGGTCAGTTAAATATGAAATATACTTACAAAACACTATCAACAGATAAAAAGTTGCCAAGAATTCTACATTTCTCCCTAATTTTGTCCAGACTTTCGGGAGATTTGACTCCATTACCGAATTTCTCGTACCGAAAGCCCACGTCATCTGCAGACACCTCATCCGACTCTTGTGAGCAATATATCACACCTTAAAGTCGTATAAAAACAATAATTATTTTTTACATCATTAAACATATGCACAACTATTTACTTACCAATTAGTGCCAACAGAATATACACATTCATTACTAATATTTAATGAGTAGATATAAATAGTAGACAAAACAGATTAATAAATATCTTTAGCATCAAAATATGCAAACAACTTACTAATTACAAAAAAAAGTATTATTCAGAGTTACCAACTCTGGTAGGGATTCCTTGAAAAATTCAAAAATTTTCCGGTGCTATAAACCACATTCTTCATAAATGAATTGTGATTTAAAATGTTGTGTACATAACAGTCGCCACCACAATAGACGTAACCTTTCTATGTCAAGGTCAGACTCTCGCCCTCCCACTTGACCACACCATTTAATCTTGCAGTCAAAACAAACGTTGACAATATGGCAACACTAATAGAATTAGTTCTAATTTACTAATTACAGAAGTAAACAAATATGGTATTTTAAATTTTTGTAAATAAATTATTTTTTAAAGTACAATATATCCTCGATATAAGCAATATTTTTAAACAAGTTTACATTATATTCAATAAGAATAGTTTTAAATTGTCTTATTAAAATACTTTAACACTATACCTTCAAAACAAAACTGTTTGCTATAGATATTATATTCTTAAGTTTAAAGACCAAACTATAAGTAACTTTTTATTATTGTAAAATTTATTAATGTATTTATTAAGATATTTTGACGTTTCAATCAGTTATTGTAATTTTACATTATACGATTAATTGGAAACAAAGTTATTCTACATGTTATCTAACCCAGTTTCTGCTGTACAAACATTAGTGCCTTTCAAATAACAATATGTACTATAAAAATAATATATCTGATATAAATTAATAATTATGAATTTAATATATTTTTAATTAATGTTATCATAATAAATTAAATTAATTAAAGACTTTTGTGTTTCCATAAGCGACTTATTATTAATATTAAGTTATCAAATCAAACAACTTTAAGGTCTTGTAATGATTATATGAATAGTATTTATTTGAATAATTCTTGGTCATATTCTGTAATGTTAAAACTCATTCATTGTATTTCATAACACTTCATATGAAAATAATAAAAATGAATGTTTTTTAAGTTCATTTCATGCGTTGATTTAATGCTTACGTTTAATATCATAAATGAGTTATATTAATTTATCAAATCATAAATCTTAATGTAAATCTTTATATACAATATACTAAAAAAAATATCTGTTACCAGTAAAAAATGAACTTATTGTTCTATGATAAAACATACGTGTTAGACGCTAATAATTATATAATTGTAACACTAACCTTAAGCAGGTATTTATTAAAAGGTATAAATACCTTGAATGACAAAAAACTCATACAATAAACAAGCCATTGTTTAATACATTCATTATATAACTCATACTTTTAAAGAAAAATTGCTTATAAATTATATTAAATTCAAAAATGAATTACAATATATTTAAAACATTTGTGACGATATATCTATCCGTGACGTTATGTTTGGCGGATAACAACACATTTGTGGCCAGAGTTGGCACAAATAATGAACACGTTATATACGCTGCGATAGGCGACAATTGTGATGATTGTGAGCCAATTGATCAAAAAGTTTGTATAAGTAATAAGTGTTACTGCGAACCAAACTACTACCCAAACAACCTGGGTAAATGCGTGTACAGTTCATGCGTTTTAAATAGGGATTGTATTTATAATGGTGATCAACACCGGAGCTGCTCGGCCTCGGATGAGTGTGTTTGCGATCCGGGTTATTGGCAGGACATGACCAATGGGCGCAAGTGTGAATTGGATGATGGTACTTACACCTGTTTGAATACTGACAATAAAGTTCGTATAGACAACAAGTGTTATTGTAAATTAAATTATTACAAAACCAGTGACGATAAATGTGTGCACAAGTCGTGCGTTTGGAGCACTGATTGTTCATCAAATGGCGACCCGAATCGGCAGTGCTCTAAAGGCAGTTGTGTTTGTAGTGCCGGCTATTGGGGTGACAGTAGTAATGGGTTTAAATGTAAAAAGGATGTTGGTTGCGCTGATTGTTTGTCAAGTGCCAATAAAGTCTGTATCGACAATACATGTCAGTGTAAAACAAATTACTACAAAACCAGTAATGATAAATGCGAGTACAGGTTATGCGGTACTGACAGCGAGTGCTCGACAAATGGAGATAATTACAGAGAGTGCTCGAAGTCATTGAACTGTGTTTGCAGTGCCGGCTATTGGGGCGACACTAGTAATGGGGGTAAATGTAAAAAGGATGTTGGTTGCGCTGATTGTTTGTCAAGTGCTCATAAAACCTGTATCGACAATACATGTCATTGTAAACCCGATTATTACAAAACTACTGATAATAAATGTGTTTACAAGTCGTGCGTTACAACTACCGAATGCCGTAAAAATGGCGATTCCAATAGATATTGTGAGGCTGATGGAAAGTGTTCATGCGCAAATTATTATTGGCCAGACCTTAGCAATGGTGGTGAATGCAAATTCAATTCTCATTGTGACAATTGCCTGTCGTCTGACAACAAAGTCTGTATTAGTAATACGTGTTATTGTAAACCAAATTATTATAAATCCAGTGATGGTATGTGTGAGTACAAGTCGTGTGCTTCAAACAGCGATTGTACAAAAAATGGCGATTATAACCGAGAGTGTTCGAGTGATGCGAAATGTGCCTGTATAAAAAATTATTGGCCCGACTCTAGTAATGGCGATGAGTGTAACTATGATTATGCCTGCAATAATTGTTTGTCATCCGACAATAAGGTTTGTTTGAGTGATACGTGTTATTGTAAACCGAACTATTATAAATCAAATGATGGTAAGTGTGAGTACAAGTCATGTGTTTTTGACAGCGATTGCACTAAAAATGGTGATTCTAACCGGGAATGCAATTACGGGTCGTGTGAATGCATTTCTAGTTATAAAGAGGACATAAGTAATGGACGAAAATGTAGTTATAATTGGGATAACGATGAGTTAAATTTTTGGTCGTGGGGCTGGATATTCATTGTATTTCCTGTGATTATACTAATAAGTGTTGGCATTTGTATGACTAAACGGCGTCTCAAACAACAACGCGCCCAACAAGTGGTTGCTGTACAGACCCGACCCACACAAATGCCAGCGCAGGTAGCTTTTGGTAATCCTATTTACGGCAATCAACAAATGTATGCATTTCAAACCCAACAGTACGGCGGACCAGCACTACAACAAGCTTTTATACGGCCTCAAGACTTACCCCCGCCTTACTCGCCCCCATCCCCGCCAACTACTAGTGCTCCGCAATTAAATAATACAAATCCCACAAATAGTTTACACGACACACAAACAATAATTGTTGAAAATTGATAATATACTATTATAATATTATATTTTAATATTTACAATTTGTAAAATTATATTTATAATAATATATAATTTAAATATAGTAATGATTTGTTGAATAATTTGTTACAATGCATGATCTTCAATTTATACATTTTGTTGTTATTTAATACTAGAATGTCAACATTTTAAATGTTAATTATTTATATTAAATATTAAACTATGCTATTCACTAAATAGTTTTTAGCTATAAGATTATTATTTTAAATAAGTTAAAAATAAATAATAAACGGTTCAATTAAAATATTTTATAGTAAAAAAAGTGGTGTGATAAATTGTGGTC